TGGAAAATCGCGAAAAAGTTACAAAAACAGTTTTGGAACGTGGAATTTATAGCTAACCAGCCTTGCCGTGCGAATGAAATTTACCAATAATAAAAAGCGAATTGCCTTAAAATATTTATTGGTAAATTCTTCGCAAAAACAACTACATCGCGCCAAGTTTACAGCTACAGAATATTGGAGCACTTTATCGTGGATATGTAGGTAAAAGGAAAAGTGAGAAACAACAATAAGTAAAAGCGGCAAACATGTAGCTTAATGGCATAACCATTGGCTCGTGCTACAGGCATCCCAAGTTCGAATCCAATTCGAGCAAAGGTGTCTGGAAAAAGAAGTATGATGAGGAAAGGGAGGTTGGTTTCCGAAATAGCAGCTAAAACTTCTATTTTGTAATTTTTTCACTAATTCAAAAAATATATGGTCTGAAATAACCTAAAAAAATATTATTTTTCGCTTTTATTTTCTAATTTTTTGTGATTTTAATATACCAACTGCAACGTACTTCATTTCTTATTACTTTTTTCGTAATAGTACACCCTATATATTAAAGCAAAATTATCCCAATCGGACTTCGAGGTAATTTTTCACAATCGAAGGGACCAATTTCCAGCTATAAAATAATGAAATCATATATAAAAAAAAATATACGCGATGAATTGAGAACCTTCTTTTCGTCGGATAAAAATTAAAATTTTTCCAGCTTTTAAGCACACCTCGTACATACATAGATATTTACATAAAAATATTATTAATTATTTACAGCGCGGCCGTTAATGATATTGTAAACGTTTGCGGCATCACTTTTGTCTAGAGATAATTAGGCACAAGTGGGTAAACGTACAAATATACTTTAATGCTATAAACATTTCCACAAATACATTGAACTTGATTATATTTAAAAAGTGTTTTACATATATATATTTAACTGCGTCAATTACATTGGCTGTTTTCCCTCTTAACGATATTTCGTAATTTTATGTTTTATCGACCTTTGACATTTCAATTGAATTACAGCTATACGGACATGAGCACTTTTGCGGCGAGCTCAAGGAAAAGAATTTTCGATTTACAGTTTTCTATTTTTTTCTTGAAAAAAAAAAAAAACGTTCGTTATAGTCCTCCGGGATAGAAGTATTCTTCTCAAAGAAATTTTTAGTAACGAAAGTAAAAAAAAGAACAAACTAAATAAAGGATGTTTTTTTAGACATATGATCACAGATTCTATTTTGAGCTCCTAGACCGTAGGAGCGCTACCTTCTAGTTGCGCTAGACGACTTTTATGGCATGGAGGTTAAAGAAGGTATCTTCGGCACAACTGTCTGTAGTACCAGAGTCCAGCAGCAGAAAATTCATCAAGCTACTCGAAAAAGATACAACCAACCAGATCGATTATGTTGTGAAAGGCGGACAACGAACACAAGGAAGGTTCGACGTCGAAAAGTTGCAATCAGAACACTACAGGCGAACGGTTTTCAACTCGACTTGCACTCCTGTTCTCTGAGAACACTCATCGGCAACTTATGAAAAGGGAAGTGTGGGACGGTATTTCAAGCTCCCTAAGTACAGCTAAATACAAAAAAAAACTCTTCAGAAAGGTAAAAAAACAAATGGTTCGAGAGAAAACAAGCTCCTACTTCGCAACGTTGCGTGTAGGGACACGACCATAGTGACGCTAACACTGAGCTTCTCCTCCGGTTTTGGTATGCATCTTGTTTTGCAACCGAATGGAGGGAACTACAATTGAGTCTAAGCTACCTCCAGACCACCGAGCCAGGACTCATACCCTGGCCGTAAGAAAGGCAGTATGCAATACCAACCACTCGGCTATTGCGGCCGTGGTAGGATAATTACCGAGAACTGACGAGGAAAGAAAGGCGCATGTGCAGACAAAAGAGAAAGAAGTGAAAATGCGTGAGTTTGAAATGATTGAGAAGCTGGCCGTGACTGTAGTAATGTTGGAAAATTCTACGGAAAGATGCGGCCATTATACAGAAGACTTCAAGACCGGTGCCAGAGGGTTTCAAGACAGTACCAAAAAGGTGATTTAGCGACGGATGCCCAGAATATACTGAATTTATGGAGAGAACAGTTGCTCAGTCAGACTTTCCAATCGATGTCGATCACTAACGTCGTGTAAAGAACGTTGAGAGTTTTTCAGAGCAAAGTTTTGCGTTAGATCTCTGCACATTGGCAACGACGAATAACGCAGTCGATAGAGCGATGTATCACAGCTAAATTGGCATAGTTCAGCAAATATAGAGACAGCGAGTACGCGAGTTAGTCCATGTGGTCCGAATGGAATGGAACACTCTTGCTTTGAATGTTTCGAAGTCAGTACCTGCCGGTGGTAGCACGGGATGAGGTTCTGTTTATATTTGGGAAAAACGAAAAAGTCACATGGAACCATGACTGGCGAAAATGAATTCTGGAGGATTGTTGTACAAAACCAAAAAATTTGAGTAGGAGCAATACAGCGGAGAATTGTTTTCCCACATATCCGAGGGAATTAGCGTAGCCTGCAGAAAAGCTCGGCGTTGCGAGCAACACCGTTATTTTCGTCATTCTATTTAGTCGCATGAGTTTCTGCAGAGAGAATAGAATTTTAATAATCATTATTGAGATGGATTCTTTTCGAAGATCTGGTCAATGTTCGACATTTCGTATCTGAAACCAAAATATTATATAGTTCTTACTTGAAGAGCTATATATAACACCGTCCGACATGATTTTTGACGCACGGAATAATGAAACATTTTCGGAAACAAAAAAAAAAAAAATTCTGTGTTGGGCCGGTTTGCTAGATAAAGTCGCTTATGTTTTTTGGGATGGGTAAAAATAGAGTTGGTTTTTGTCGGATGGTGTAATAGGTCCAAGAAATTTTCGACTCATACCTCAATAAGTTCTCCTTTTCCGCTTTGCTTAGAAAACAAAATACTTTAGTGTATTCTTGTAGAACTTCAAGCTGATTGCTGGTTAACTGACTATATTTTCTAATACTCAAGATCAATATCTCGTAGAGACTTGAGCTACGGTCGTACGCCGCAGTAGGTGTAGGCTCTTGATTTAATGAGTTAATAATAATTTTCGCCCTTTCAACGTTTTAAATTTCACTTAACTCAAACTCTTTACTTCAAAAAAAAAAAAACTGTACAATAAACAAATTAGAACATGGCAAAAACACAACAAAAATAAGAGAAAGATTTAACAAAATTACTCCGAAATATACATAATTAGTGTACTAAAGGTGTTAAAAACTCGTTTTAACAGTTCATAATTGCAATTAACACAATTAGAACTCACCACGATTTACAAATGTCACGCATAGAAATCATGTCAACGCAACCAAATGTCAACAAAGCGTCAAAGAAATGTCGTACGCAGTACCGCCGCAAGTGGAGTGTGTCAACAGTTTTTAACACACAAAATGACAATGAGACGCTGAGTGAATTTCGAATGGATTCTTGGTAGACAAAAAAAAGGTGAACCATAAATTTGTGAAAAATGAAAGCTAAATAGAGAAGGAAAAACTTTGCTTCGTGTCGTAGACACGTGCCCATTGCGTTGTTGTTGACTTTTTATATGGTGCACCAGTCCACCAACCGTCTGCACTGCCCAGCCAAAGGTTAGTGTGTGAAAATAAGATTTGTTGTTGTCTTCTTTTTGCCTACTCGTCGATGGGGCTTAGAGGTTGCATCTCTTTATGACTTGAGTTAACGAGCACGCAAGTGCTCACACATCAGAGAAGTGGGAATTATTATACGAGTATCTGGGGACAAAAAGAGGTTTCGGAATGAAAGTAAATTGTGAATCAATATATTAGGTGTGGTAAAAAGAAATCGATTATTTTTGCATAAAAAGCCTTAAGTCAATAAGCCTTATTCAAATGGTTTTAAACGGTTTTTGTGCAATCTTTAGCTCTTGGGCAATCGAAACAGTGCTTGCAGACGGCCGGACTCGGCAATGTCCATGATTTTATCGACATTTCCGGCAATTGGCTTGAAGTTCTGAAAATCTCTTTGGAGCTATTCTCCATTAACAAGGTGTCTGAAGGGAAGCTGATAAAACTCGGTCATATCATTCTAATCAGAAGGTGTCAGATACCAGTAAGGACACACTACTGCATAACCTTTACTGACTAAACGAACGATTACCAAGTTATTTTCCTGATAGGCATCAATCCTCTTTTATATGGATGGACATAAACTCGACAATAGGGTCGGTAGTAGGTTGGCGGTTGGATACATATTGGGTTCCAGGGCACACGGACTGGCTACCGAACCAATAACGGACATAGATGCACAATGAAATTGCTGAAAAGGCTGACAGATGGATAATTGAGAAATTATGCTAAGATCATGTGTAAGAGCACCGAAGGAAAACACTTATATTTTTGCTCACGTGGTCTTGAAATTATAGCTGTCCGGCCTTACCATGAACTTATCTTAGCGTAGATGCTCTCCATGATGACTACTTTAGCTCATACTAAACTGAATTTGTCGCTTTGTAACCGCTGAATCGATTTTTGGGCCGAGCTCTTCCTTTAATTTTTCTTAATGTTTTTCCAACAAATGAGTGGACCTAAAGTTCATACAAAGCCGCCTCCGAACGGCTACGAGGAGCCTTTATTTCCTGCCGAGGGGCGACTGCAATTAGAAAATTTAACTTAATTTTTTATTTAAATTAATTCTCCATAACTTTTTTTTGGATGTTGGTGGCACCGGATTTTAACCCGAGCCTTCCGAATGTCAGTAGGCAATGCTAACCCCTTGACTACCGCGGCCGCCTATTTTCTGGTGAAAACCTGGTTGCATCAAGAGCTCTGAAATATGTCAAAATAATATCTGAAACTGTAGAGCACTGACGCATACAACTTAATGGTGATGGTTCTCTGTGCGCCTAAAATAAGTAAAATAATAAAAGTAAAATAACTTTTTCGTCACCTTGATCCACTCCACATGTAAGCTCACTACAAAATATTTATTCAGTGGAGATACCAAATCAAGATGGAAAAGTCTCAACTTTTGCAATGTGACTGGGGTAATGTGGGTGATATGGAGTACAAGAAGAGGAAACAAGTTTATACCGTTATAAAGCAGGTATCTAAAGTAGAGTCTTTTTAAGGGGCAACTTCTCTTGGCTAAGCACGCAAATAGGATGGGCTTATATACCATTAAGCAACTTCTGCACTAGTTGTAGATGAGACGAAGAAGCTGAAACAGAAATCTTTTGCGACTGCTCCGCACAGTATAGCAGTTGGTTGAAGCCTCTAAAGTCACTAAGTACAGTGATATTTAGAGACTTGACAAGAATATCGACTGCAAAGATATGTTGATTACTCCCCCTTGCTGACTTCGCACAATTTTTGGACTAGTGGGGTTAAAAGGGCCTTCAGTGGGTATCACAATAAGCTTGTACGGTGCCACTTTAACCTAGCCCGTGCTGTAGCCTGACACATAGCCTTCTGTAGTTTTAGATTCGAGCACAAGAATATTCATACCTTAACTAAAATCTTGACGAACCGTCAAACTCGGCTAGTCTCTCATCAGGCCCGTCTTATAGACGAATAGGTGGCATTACTCTTCCATTTTAAAATCAATTTTTTATGCGGTCGCCCCTGAACAGGAAATTTCAACTCCTCATAGCGCTTTTCTGATGAAAATCCATCAGACGTACCGAGGGGACTCCAAACTGTTGGGTGAGAACCCAGCAACAAGTCCTCTGGAAGGACTACTCCTAGTCATTCGGTTCCCTATTCTTCAGTTTGATGCTGGAGAAAATAATAAGAGCTGCACTACTAAATGTACTGCTGGCGTATGTCGATGATATTGATATCATAGGTGTCGACAACCGCCTCGTTAGTTCTGCTTTCTCCAAACATGAAAAAGAAGCGAAGCCTATGGGTCTGGGACCAAGCAATTCGACATTTACTGGCATGGGTCGAGCGCAATTAGAAAAATAAATATTCTATAATATTGGATGTTGCTCGGACTAGGGCCCGGGCCCTGCCAAATGTTAGTACGCCAAAATTAGATAAAATTCGGCAAATCAAGTGACAGTGTCTACGTTGGCTGGATCATCCGGTTCGGATGAACGGGACCGCTTCAGCTTTGAAAGTATTTGTTGCAGTGCCCGAGAGAGGATGAAAAAGGCCTTTTCTCTGTTGGCAGGATAAGGAGAAGAGCAAGCTGGCTTCACTTGGTACTTTCAACTGGCGCCAAACTACAAAGAGAAGGAACGAAGGAGGCGCTATTTCGATTCGGCTATAATCGTCGAAGAAGAGGCAGAAGAAGCAAAAGAAAAAGAAGAAATATTGCAATAAGAAATATGCAAATAAGAATTTTGTAAATTACAATTAACGATGTACCTTTTGCTGCACTTGGTCAATGGCATTGGATGCTACCAAACGAAACTTCGCGGTCAATAGCAACGCTACTAAATATTTATACTGCATAGTCTAGTTTGCAGCAACAACAACCTTTTTACACATTTCCCCATTCGTTTTGCTCGCCAGACTGCCCAGCATGAGCCCACCGCCGAAAAACGGCGCTTTGTTTTGCTTTACTGCGCAGACGCGTACGCGTGGCCAACATTTATCGCCTCGCCGCTGCTTCGCTATTTAAACTGTTTTATTTTTGTTTTTATTTTTATTTTTTTTTTACTCTTTGTTTCTTTTTTTCCTTGTATATTTTAACACCCGCAGGGCATTTGGATACCGTAATTTGTGCAAAGCTTTACTACTTTGTTAACCGTGTATGTGTGCGTCTGTGTACATATGTACATAGCAATTAAATGATTTTAATTAATACATTCACTTTTACTTTTATTCCATTCAACCTCTGGAGAGGTGTTTATAGGTTAGTTGATTAGCCATTACAGTTGCATGTACATACATACATATGCCTATAACTATGAGTATATGTATGTGTGGATGAGTATGTCTTTATGTGTGTTTTGCAATTATAAATACAATTATGCACTTATGTCTAATTTACTGTGATATTCATAACAAGAATTAAAAATTTCACTTTTTTATTGGATTTTTCTTCTTCTTCTTTTCCTTTTTCTCCATCATTTCAGAGTAAACAGAAATCTAGCGCCGATAGCAAGAGCAGCGCAGCGGAAAAATCTTCGAAATCTGGCAGTGCCAATGGCAATGGCGTAAGCAACAACTGCAGTAATAACAACAACAACAATAACAGTAGTCGCGATAATAATAATATTTGCGGTAAACACATAACGAATGGGAAGACAAATTGGAATGCCAAGGTGAGTTTAATCTCGTTAAGTGTTGTCATAAATGTTAAAGAGCGTCTTTGGAGAGCAGATTCTTTACGGAAAAGTCGTTGATATAACGCACCAGAGGCTTTCGATACTGTCAATGAGTGCTGATGAGGCTTCCTCCACCTCAGTTTGGTTCTAAAACGCATATAAACTCATTAGTTTCGCTATCGTTCTTATGTTTGAGTATGACAGCATGCAGTGGATCCATATGAGTAGCAAGAAGAGTGTTAGAGTCTTGAAAGAGATACTTTTTCCAGGTTGCATAATAATCTACACAGATGATATTCTGGTATCGAAGCTGAATAGAAACTTCAATTCATAATGTGTAACCTTTGAGGTGGTTTTGGCCGAGCTCCAAGAACTCATGCGGTGCGTCTTGATGGTTTTTTAAATGGAGGAGCCTGAAATTTATTCAAATGGCTGATGGGTATTTATGAGTGGCTTTGATTTTCATGTCAGAATCATGCTCGGAGGGCTTAACATTGATCTTCGTTGTTTGGCGTTAGTCGGAAATACCAAATGGAGCCATATCGTTCTCCACCTGATCCTTCCAAGGGAGGGTACTGCCTCCACCAGCGGGAACTGCCTGCATCAGCGGGTTCTACATCGAATACTTTCAATGCTAGAGTGTTGTCATTCATCTGAACCACATAGTCGTAGATCTTATACAGCTCATCGTTCCATCGGCTGCGGCATTCGCCGTTGCCAAAGAGCAGAGGACCATAAATCTTTCGTAAAACTTTTATCTCGAAGACTACCAAGGCCAACTCATCAGATGTTGTCATAGTCCATGCTTCCGCACCATATAGCAGGATGAAAACGATGAGGGACTTGTAGAGTTTGGTTTTCGTTCGCCGAGTGAAGACTTTACTTTGTTGGTGTTGATGCTGGTTTCTATATAGACGAAATTATCTACGACTTCAAAGTTATGACTGTCAACAGTGACGTGGGAATATTTCGTCTTGCCCTCATTCACTACCAGACCCATTTGCTTCGCTGCTTTATCGAGTCACGGCGCGGTTATTGAGGCCAATAATGTCAATATCATTGGCATACGCCAACAGCTGAACACTTTTATAGAAGATTGTACCTTCTCTATTGAGTTCTGCAGATCTTACTATTCTCTCCAGCATCATATTGAAGAAATCGCACGACAAAGAGTCACCCAGTTGAAACCTCGTTTGGTATCGAAGGGCTCGCTGAGGTCCTTCCCGCTCCTAACGGAGGTTTTGGTGTTGCTCAAAGTCAGTTTACACAGCCGTTTAAGTTCTGAGGGGTATCAAATTCAAACATAGCGGCGTAAAGGTTGCTCCTTTTCGTGCTGTCGAAGGCGGCTTTAAAATCGATGAAGAGGTGGAGAGTGTCGATCCTCCTTTCACGGGTCTTTACTAAGATTTGGCGCATGGAGAATATCTGGTCAATGGTTAGCTTTTCAGGTCTGAAGCCATACTGATAAGGTCCAATCAGTTTGTTGACGGTGGGCTTCAGTCTTTCACACAATACGCTCGACAGGACATTATAGGTGATATTAAAGAGGCTTATCCCACGGTAATTGGCGCAGAGTGTGGGGTCCCCTTTTTTATGGATTGGGCAGAGCACACTTAAATTCCAATCGTCGGGCATGCTTTCGTCCGACCATATTCAGCAAAGGAGCTGATGCATGCACCTTGTCAGCTCTTTACCGCCATGTTTGAATAGTTCTGCCGATAGGCCGTCAGCTCTGCTAGCTCTGCTGCATTATTATTTATTTTTTATTTATTTTTTTTTTTAAATTATTGTAATATATTAGATAAATCTTTGAAAAAATATATTCACGTTATGAAAAAATTATATAAACCGTTAATCAAATTAATTTTAACACACACAAAATATTGTACAAACAAAAAACATTACATGACTATGTCAGTAAACTAGTTTTTGAATCAATTCAGCTGCACGTCTTCAGCTCAGCTCAGCGACTTTTATGACTCTTCTGACATTAACACAATTAATATTTCTACAATTAAGTTACGCTTGCAAATCTTCCCGCTTTACTACGTTTTCTGTTGCTCGACATAATTGAAAAATACTTACATATTCGTGTATGTATGTGTAAAGGAAAAGATGTAAAAAGGAAAGAAGAAAGAAAAAGAAAAATAGAAAAATTTTCCTTATTGGCGATCACGTAATTTGGATCAAAGCTTCTTCTCTGCATATTTGTTGCTCATTTATAGATTTTTTTCAGAGCAAATTTCTTTTGTTACTACTGTAGCTAGTTTAGGGCAGCTCTTTTGATTGGTGAAATTTAAAGGGTGCTTTATTAAAAGTGTGGTTTTAAGTGAGACAATACTTTTTTCGAAGCTGGCCTTTTTGACAGCTGTCACTTGATTTATACTCCATTTGGTTTGCCAATCCGTAACAAAAAGACTCACTCGTGACCTGCAAACGTTGGTTTCATTTACCAAAATAATTATTCAGTTCGCCCTAGCACGCTGCATCGGCCGACATAACCGCCCCGCAGAGTCGCCGATGGATCGCTTTAGCACCACGCTTACTGCTGTAGACAACGCGATTCCCCTGAGTCACTGCCTAGCGCTATCGCTTCTGTGGAGCAAAGTATCTACGAAGACCCGGATGACTCCATACGTCATCGCACTAAGTGGTGCTAATTTACTTTATATAAGAATTTGCTTAGGGATCGTGGTTCGCAGGTCTACAAAATCCAATACGTGTAAAAAATTGAAGCCGAACGACCAACAAGTGCGTCGCACCTTAGGGAAGTTAGCCCAAATTGCGATAGTCGCCGATACCGATTTTCACAAGAAAGTTTTGTTCAGCCATGAATCTTTTTTGGGTTGAATGGGTACGTGAATAAACAAAATTGTCGCATTTGAAGAGATGATAATTCATAAGCCATTGTTGAGACGCCCTTACATCGGCAAAAAGCAGAGGGAAGCCATAATTTTACAGCCAATGTAGAACACTATAGAGCCATGATTAATGGTAAGACGACCATACCGCTAACGAAATAATCAGTTTCTGGACGGAAACTTTTGGTGAGCGCATTGTCTAGCCTCGTGGGCCTGCGATGTGGCCTCCAAGATCGTGCGATTTAACACCGCTAGACTATTTTTGATGGGGTTATGTGAAGTCACTCATTTACGCTGAAAAGCTCGAGACGATTGATGGAAGAGAATATTTTGCTGCAAAGAGACGTCGAAAAATGGGCCTCTCGGGTATAATTTTTTTCGGTCTTTATAAAAAACCTAAATTCTTTGTCATAAAATTAAATTATATTTGTCTTCATGTCTGAAAAGCACCCTTCATAACTGATAGCTTCGGAAAAGTTTCTTAATTCTGGGTGGTGCCGGAAAGCCAATTACAGCTCCGCTTGGTAAATTATTTCGAGGTTGTATCGAGGTCGCTCCTACGCTGCTAAGAGCAGAGGTAGAAAAATAAATCCGCCCCTTATAAAATGGGAAGACTTATTGCGGTACGAGTCCTAGTCTAATTTTGGTCGCCCCTCTGCTGGTAATGTCCAGCCCCTCGATTGTAGGGCAAAAAAATCCATCGGCCACTCGGAAGCGGCTTATTAAAAACTTTGGTTACTCCAAATTGTAGGGAGACGATTCTCAGCTAAATTTTCTCCACTAAGCAAAGGAAAGAGAAGAGAAATCGGACTAAATTTTTAGTTTTGGGCTTGTGAAGCCTTACTTACTTTCAGCTCACCCTATTACTAGTATATGTATTACTCTATAATTATGTTACATATGGGATGCAGCTATGCATCATTATTAACAAAGCGAAAATTGTTTATTGTACTCGTTTGTAGATTTAGCGATCTATGAACCATGCAAACTGACATGGTCAATAAAATTTAAATTGTATTGTGCCACACGTACCTACCTACTTACCTTTCACGTACGCGTAGTAAATGTACTCGTACATACATACATACATATGAATATGAATATGTATGTATGTGCATTATGGGTATGAATGAAATATGAGCTGCTACCAGGCGGCGATTAAGGCATTAAACACTTGGGCGACGATGACACGACATGTTTGTAATTAAGAAAATACACACGTTCGAAATGTTATCGTTCCTAACCTAAAATTTTTTGTAAAAATTGTTTAAAAATTATGAAATATTGTACTTTTTTTAATCTAAAACTGGTCTATAATATTAAGCGAATGAATATATTTATTTTTTGTCTTTCTCTATAGTAAAAAATATACACTACCGAACAAAAAAATGAGGGAGCCAAAAAGCAATTGTGAATATTTTAGTGGTTTTCCTAGTGCTATATATATATTTGTAAATTTATTGTATGGATAATATATAAAAATAGTGATTTTGAGGTTTAAAACGATAATTTTCGAATTTTTGGGTAAACAATTTTTAGGAGTTACCGTTATTGATCAATTTTAAGGCGAGACAGATTATCGAATTTTGAAGAAAAACCATTTTTTCATCCCTAATTGTATTCTGAGAAAAGTGAGAAAAGTCATAATTTTCTTTTTTGTGCAAAATCGGCTACATTTTTGCGAATAGCGATGAATAATGTAATGTTTTGCATACCTCAATGTACCTCCATTAGCTCTGCAAATCAACAGATCATCGAATGGTTCTTCTTCTTCGTTTGTTCAATACCTTTTAGTTTGTTTAAAACTTTAGAAAAAAAATAAAAGAGCACAGTTTAATATTGATGAAAGTGCGGAATATGTGGAATGTCGAAATTTTCGATGATTTTTATTTGTAGGAAAGGGTTACGTCTACTCTTCTTTCAGTAATAAGAAACGTGATTTTTTTAGTTAAAAAGTTAAGTACTTTTATTACTTCAATTATTGAGCTGAATCTAAAATGCTACATGAAAAATTCAAATGGACTCACCCTAATGCCGCTGCTGTGAAAAGTGCTACCGAAAGAAGACCGTTCGTCAGGCAACATCGGTCTTTAGGTAACAGGTTTCCTCTTACAATGATTGCTCATTTTGCCCTCC